ACCACGCGGCTTCTCCGTCACGAGTCGTCGGCAGGGCCCGGGCCGGAATTTGTAGCCGCGCGTACGCGATTTCCCCGAAATTCCGAATTTCTCAAATTCCGATCGCCAAATGCTACACACACCTGGCAACATTGCAAAATCTGTTGAGGGGGGTTGGGGATTTTATGAAAAGGCAGAAAATACGAATGCCGACCACGTGGAGTGAGTAAAATACGGAAATAGGCATTGGGTAACGTGCGAAAAATGGGGGCAAAACCCTGGAAAAGCTATTTTTGGACATTTTGGCAAAAATAGTAGCGTGTCGTAGGCATAGGGTCACGATTTTTCGAAGAGAAAACAGGTAAAAAGGGACCACAGCCCATAAAAAAACCTAAGCCTAAGCCTAAGCCTAAGCCCAATTTTGCAGGTATTTCGCCTAAATTCAATTTCGATTTCACACGTACCAGAAAGCTGGCGGGCATCAAAACACCGGTGCTCTTTGTGCCCGCCCGGCCCATAATTCTGGTGGCAATTAATCTATTGTCCATTGTGCATCTGGGTGTTCCTTTTATTCAAAGCAATAGCTGTTTACAGACCGCCTCAAAAAATGAGCACGGGCTTCAAGGCTTTCTTTCTGGCAGAAGTCACGAAAATCGCTAAATAATTAGTCATTGGCTTTTAGGAAATGGTCTTTGCTAGATTGCCGGGAGTGCGAAAGAGAGAGCGGGAGAGATAGCGAGTGAGAGGGAGTGAAAGAGGGAAGGTGAGAAAGAGCGAAAGCGTGAGCGAGAGAGTGAAAGTGGAAGAGAGAGCGAGAGCAAGAGAGCAAGAGAGAGAGACCGAGCTAGAGAGATAGAGAGAGAAAGCAAGATTTCCGATTCCTTACATTTTTCGGTCTCCGGATTTTCAATAGCTCCGTAATTAAGGCTCCTCAATGAGCTCCTTCTCCTCTACAATACCTGCAATTTCCCCATGCGAGGGTGGCAGATAAATGCGCGGGAATCCTGCAAATGCATAACTATTTCGGGCTAATTCTCAGGTATCAAAGGGCCCGAATGTACCCTCCGGCTATTCATACCAGATTCGTTGAATTGGAGGTGGAACTTAAAAAAGAAGGGACCGGAAAATAGCTTTAAAAATTGGATACAGTCATCGGAGCTGCATCTGCAACCACCCACACGAGAAGCCGGAAGCGTACATAGAAGCTTGGCGTACATAGGAGCTTGCCGTACACTGGAAGGAAGAGAGGGGTTGGAAAAAATGTATGTTTCTCTTGTGGGGACTTAGAAGTGAGCCAAGTAAGCCCGTGTAAGCCTGAGATAAGTAGGTACATAAGGCTAAGCTGAGCTTAAGCCTAAGTTTAAACTGAACCTAAGCCTAAGCCTCGGCCTAAGCCTAAGCCAAAGCTTAAGCCAAGCTCGGCCAAGCTAACTTTATGCGTAATTTAACCAGGAGCCAAGACAAGCCCGGTCAAGCCTAAGCCAAGTCGAAAAGTTAAGCCGACTTCCGCTCCTAAGCCAAGCCCGCATAAGCATACTATAAGCCGAGGTTAAGCTAAAGTGAAGCCACGCATAAACCAAGCCTAAGCTAAACCCAAAAGTTAAACCAGCCCAAGCCTATGAATAAAACAAAGCCTAAGCCTATGGATAAAGCAAAGCACAATAAAGTTTCAGCGTATCCTACACCTAGGACGTGCCTTAGTTAGCCAAGCCTAAGCCTAACCCTAGCGAAGCCAAACGAAGCCTACGCTAAGCCCTTACCTAAGCCATAGATCAACCGATAAACACCGCCAAAAATCCGTAGAAACCGTACTATTTCGACTCACATGTTTCAAGATAACCCGGCTTCTCGGCTCGCGCATTGTTTTCGGGGCGATTCCAGGGATTTTTCTGCCCAAATCTGCCGATAATCCCCTCAAGTTCGAGCCCAACGATCAGCATTGTTGCGCAGGGGAAAAAAGGCGCATCTCGTGTAATCGTGGAGTGGGGCTTGTAGGTGATGCTCAAAATCGGGGATTTTTGGCGCCATTCTCGGGGCGTTTTTTAGGGGATGCTCTAGTTGCTGATCGGAGAAGCGGTATGAAAACAATCTATTTCGGGCGAGAGAGAGAACGAGAGGGAGGGAAGGAGAAGGAGAGAGAGAGACAGAGAGAGAGAGAGAGGGAGAGAGAGAGAAAGAAGGAGTCCCAGACTTCCCGATTTCTTGAACTTCATATAATTTGCCGAATTTCCGTTTCACCCCAAACAACAAAAAAATTTTCGAGTTTTCCCAAATTTACTGCGCAAAATTGATGCAAACTACAACTCCCCGTGTTTTCATTTTAAAGCTCAACAAGACAAATGCGGAGATTGCTGTCGCTCTCTCTCTATCTCTCTCTCTCTCTCTCTCTCTCTCTCTCCCTCTCTCTCTAACAACCGATTAATCTTTCGACTTCCTCTCCCCTTTCCCAACCAGTAAATACCAAAATAGCATTAGCATTTGGGGTGTTATTAGTTTACCATATTGTGAGGGTGGAGACCGGAAAAAATAATCTAATCCCTCCAAATTACCAAAATTTGTTGACTATTTTGCCATAAAAGCCCTAGGCGCCCCGAAAAATGTCTGGGTCTTCCGGAAAAATGCCAAAAAAGATGTTGTACTAATCCGGCTAGTCAGAAGGCACTTTCTGGTTAAAGTTCAGGGTAGTAGGCGGACTATAATATTTATATTATTTTGTCTAGGGTTTTAGAGCAAGAGAGAGAGAGAGAGAGAGAGAGAGAGAGAGACAGAGAGAGACAGAGAGAGACAAAGCGAGACAGAGAGAGACAGAGAGAGACAGAGCGAGACAGAGAGCGACAGAGAAGCTTGAATCCGACGACAACTACAGGGTGTCCCAAAAAAAAACCCCCTACCTAGCGGTCCGCAGTCGATTCCGATTTTTACGATTTAGGTATCTATCGAAAGCTCCCGAAAAGGCGAGAAAACAAGGAGGGTTCATTTTCTTTATTATGCATTTTTATTCGCTAATTTTACGTCCAAAAACCATGAAAACTGCTAATTTGTGCAGGATCTGCATGCTAATTGCAAATTCCTGTTGAAAAAGTACCAGTTTTTTTAGAAAAACCTTAAATATCGATGGAATTAGATTAAATCTTAAAAAACGAGACCCGCTTGTTTTCTCGCCTTTTCGAGAGCTATCGATGGGTAGTTAAATCATAAAAATCGGACTTGACTGCGGACCGCTAGGTAGGGGGGGTTTTTTTTGGGACACCCTGTATGTAGTTTTGGACCTTTAAATGTACTTAGCATATTTTCTCTCTCTCGCTCGCTCTCTCTTTCTCTCTCTCTCTCTTTCTCTCTCTCTCTCGCTCTCCCGCTCTCTCCCGTAACCTGATCGGCTAAGATTAGCCCCAAAAATTGGCCACACCTGGAAATTCAAAGTCCACCAGAAAGCGAACACAGACACACACTTTTTCCTATCCATCCCCAATTTCAGTTGTCCACCACACAGGTGTGTTTCGTAGTAGTGTCTCGTAGCTTCTGGAATGGCATGTAAAGGCTGGTACATTTCTAAAAATAGCGAGGCAGTCTAAATCGGTAGAAAACGGGGTAATCGGACCGGCTAGAAATGCGACTTCGAGGGGCTGGGAATTAAAAGAAACACGTTGGAAGTTAAGGCGAAACAAAAAGAAGCTTAAAACTAATCATAATCCGAAGCCTAAGCCTAAACCCAAGCGGAAGCCTGAGCCTAAGTCAAACCTAAGGAAAGCCGAAAACCAAGCATAAGCCTAAGCCCAAGCGCAATCAAGCCTAAGCCTAAGCCAAAGCCCAAGCCTAAACTAGACTAAGTCTAAGCTAAGCCCAAGCCTAAGCTTAAGACCGCTTAAAATGCACATAAAAGAGAACGACCAGCGGAAAGCCGTAAAAAAATCCATCTTTTTTCCCTCTTCCATCGTGCCAAATCACGTTCTCAACCCTGTCCTTTTCAGGATCTCCCCTGGGTCCAATAATGGCCCTCGCGAGGGTCCTTACCCCGGGTCGCAACGTTCCTTCCCCCTTTTCCGTGTCGCTCCGTTTTTCGTAAAATGGAGCGACGCGGAAAAATAGCCCCAAAAAGGTTCGAATCATTTTAAAAGATAGCTCGAATTAGCTTTAAGAAAAAAATACTGACTAGAAAGGTCATTTTTACTTTTATAAATATCGTAATCTAGAATCCAAGGTGTTTTTTTTAGTATTTTACACCTTTTCCTGCTTTTCGGGGTGAGGTTAACCCCCGAAATTGGCCCTTTCCGAAGGCCGAAAATCAAATTGTCGAGGTCTGCCCAGGAGCCCATCCGTTCCCCCGTTTTGCCTGTTTTCTAAAACATGCCCCTAAATCGGGTACCTTCTTACTTTTTATGTATTTCATTATAATCCCAACGTCAACAGCTACGATTTCAAGACGTCCACCCCGCGGGGGCCATTCCCTAAAATGCGCCCCTCTCTTCCAGGGCCACTCGCCATAATTGAAGGGCCCTTCCCGCCCGAAATTGTCGAGAGTCCATTTTTCGGTTTGATGGCATTTCCTGGCGGGACGGGGTGCCTTTCATTTGATTATGTGGAAATTTGGGTTTTATACTGGAGGGGTTCTAAGTCAGCGAAGCCTCGGCCTGAGCGTAACTTAAGCGTACGCCGAAGCCCAAGCTAAAGCATAAGCCTAGGCCTAAGCCCAAGCCCAAGGCTAAGCATAAGCCAAGGCTAGGCCTGAGTATCGTCTAAGCCAATATTAAGCCATACCTAAGCCTAAGCCTAAAAGCAAGGTCTAAGCCCAAGCCTAGCAAAGCCTAAGCCTAAGCATAGCTAAGCTTAAAGCCTAAGCGAGCCTAACCTTAGCCTAAGCGTAAGTCAGGTCTAATTCAAGCCTAAGGTAAGCCTAAGAAGTCTAAACTAAGCCTCAGCTAAGCCTAACCTAAGCCTCAGCTAAGCCTGAAGCCTAATCCTCGATCCCAACGTTCTCATTTCTCGATAAATTTCCAATAGTTTTAGCCAATTTTAGGCCATTGATGCACAAATATCCGCTCCTCCTTGGTCTCCTAAATGTCGGTAAGTTCATGCTCATTTTTCGCATTTTAGCCCGATTTCCAGCCAACACCTCCTATCTAACGCAAAAAATCGACATCAACTATGACAAGCGGATGAGCCCGTATTATATGTAAGCTTTTTTAAGCTTTAAACTTTAAACTGAATTTTATTAAACTAAAAAACGTTGGCTTTTTAGAAGCGGGAAAACGGTGAACGTCTCCATCAGCCTGCCATTGATGTGGCTGGCCGAGATATTGGAAGATGCGCAGATTGCTTCTTGGCTATACTCTTTTACTGTGGTCAGTGCACTACAAATTAACCCACTTTTCCGAATACTCCTTTTTATAAAAATTCAACATCTGCCTTGACTTTTTAACGGCCTTTTAAAATCGATTAAAAAGAGAAAAATCAACCCTTTAGATATTTTTCAGGCTTTTGAAACGTTTAAAAACCTCCTCTTCTCGTGCCAAACTACAAACTACACCTTTGAGGGGCTATAAACTTTACCAATTTTGACGTTTTTCACTTTAACTACCAAAAATCAAAAGTTCCAAAAAGACGAGTTTTCAGACGTAATATTCGGTTTTAGTTGTCATTTACAAGGCTAAAAACAAGCCACTTACTCCAAAGTACCACTATGATTTTGCAAGGCTACGGACTACAAAAATGTGTTCGGGACCTTTAAACCCCCGCTTAGACATGGCAAGACGATCGGCTAAAATACAGCCCACGACAATTCGGCAACGAAACACGAATCTACGTGCCGTCCACCGAGATCTGGACGCCAAGGCTGATCGTCTACAACAGGTACTGTCGCCTAAATCGCCGATGAGATACCGTATTTAGTATCGAGACGAAAAACCTGCTCCAGAAGGGCCAAGAGGATGTGGCGGTAAGGGAGTCGAGCGAACTCCTCGCACCTTGTAGTTTTCAGATCTACCCCGACGGTTCCGTGGTGATGCAACTCGTCCAGTTCTCACGGACGCTATGTGATATCTGGGTGCAAAGGTAGCCTAAGCCTAAGCCTATGCCTAAGCCCAAGCCTAACCTAAGCCAAGCCTAAGCCTGCCTCAGCCTAAGCTTAAGTCCAAGCCTAAGCCTAGCCAAACCTAAGCCTAACTTAAGCTTAAGCCTAAGCCTAAGCCTAATCCTAAGCCTAACTGTAAAGTGTTTTTACTCAACTTGGAGTTTCGATTCGGGACCAAGTGCATCTTGTGCAGAATTTTTCGCTGATTCCGAATCCGCTTTCCAAATTTGCTGCGGACTTTTATTTTGAAAGTTATACAGCAGTTATGGTAGTGTTTTTCACCAAAATCGAGGAACCGTTATCGTTTTCGATTTTCCTGATCAATTTCAACTTCAAAATTGGCTAGAGATTGGCTAGACAAGCATTTTAAAAGTCAAAACAAGCTTTTTTATAAAAAATTAAATTTTTTTATTCAAAAAGCAAAAGAAAGCTGCAGGGCGGGGATCCGAACCGCCGCCCTGCGCTTGGCAAGCGAGTACTTGGCCAATGCACCATGGTGCCAACCGGGAGGGGAGCTGTGACAGAGTACTTCAGGGCCCCTGGGAGAGACAGAACCATGGAGGGAATAGTGGACCAGGATCCGAATTTTTGGCTTTTTCAAGCTTAATTTGCACCAAAAATGAATTTTTAAATAAAAGTCCGCAGCAAATTTGGAAAACGGATTCGGTATCAGGAAAAAATTCTGCGCAAGATGCACTTGGTCCCGAATCGAAACTCCAACTTGAGTAAAAACACTTTACAGTAAGCCGACGCCTAAGCCTAAGCACAAGCTTAAGCGTTCGCATTACCGTAATCCCCCACCCTTGCAGGATGCCATTCGACACCCAGCACTGCGCCCTCGAGGTCGCCTCGCCGCTGCAGCCGCCGAAATACGTGAGCCTCCACGGCAGTCTCGTCAAACAACCGCCATTAATGCGCGTGAGTTTTCGAAAGGTCTAAAGGGCTAACCCCTACCCCATTCCAGGGCAACAGCGAATTCATAATGCGAACGCTGGCGGTCGCCGAGTTGAACTACACCCATAACGGGGAGGGCATGAAGGAGGTCAGCTTAAGATGTTATATTTTGGCTATTATATCAACTGATCTTTAAATGTCTGCGAAATTTTTAATTTAGATCTCTTTCGTGGCCGAACTTGCACGCTGTCCCATCTACTTCATCGTGGTCATCGTCGCCCCATCGTTTCTAATCTCGGCGCTTACCGTAACTGGTATATTGATGCCAAAGGGCGAATCGGGAGGCCAGGATGTTGTGAGTATTTCAGCGGAAGAAATAAGACTATTAGGCGTAGATGAAACACACCCCCGTTTTAGCCTGTCGAGTTTTACCCCCGATATTGCAAAAGCACCAAAAACTCAAAAAATTCCAGATTTCCGTTGGGTTATCAAGTATGCTGGCCCTCTCGATTACACTCTCGATCGTCGCCGAGAATCTCCCCAGATCGGCGTCAGTTCCGTTGATAGGTGTGTTGCGTAGTCGATATCATATACCTCATAAATTAGGCATCTACATCCTGGCCTGCCTCGGCGTTTGCACCGCTTCCGTGACCCTCGGAATCTGGTTGGCACATCTGAAAACCAGAAGACGCCCCCTGCCCTCATTCCTCTACATCTTTGCCGGAAGATGTCCGGGGAGCGGGAGGAAGAAAGCCGAGGTCAAGTACAGGTGAGGGGAAAAGTCAAAATCTCGACAGTTTTTATTTTTAACGCTTAAAAAATCATTTTGCGTTACATCTCACTGGCAGCCGGGTACCGAAAAATTTTCAGAACCCCTCAAAACGAGGGAACAACCGAAGATTCATCGAAAGACGCTGCCAAAATCGACCGCATCGTGTTGCATAGGTTTGCCGTTCCCGAATTTGTAGAACCGCGAAAATTCAGGCTCTACACCCTGGGCTTCGCAACACTCCAGCTGGCCCTGTTGGCCATTCTCATCCTATTCTTCTCCTTCTGGTGGCGCGAACCGCAAAAACCACCGCCGGCCTTCCAGTATTCGACGAGTCGAATCCATTTCTAAAGTGTCGCCTGTAAATAAATAAAATAGATCTACACAAGTATGCAATTTGAATAAAACAAAAAATTCATAGCACTACTCATTGAATCCCGGAAACACCCCAAAATTTCCCACCCTTTGACCCCTCAAAAAACCCACCGCATCCCCAGCACCCCATTTTCTACAAAGCGCACCGACCGGCCGAAGACAAATCTATTTATTATCTGTTCGTAATGCCCTTCCTTGGTGTTATTTGGCTGGGTATCACGGCATTAATGATGCACATCTTTCTACTCGCGGGCTGTGCCAAGAAGAAGGTGACTTTGGTACTTTTTTCTTTCGCTTGAAGTCTTTCTAGTTGGCTATAATCGAGAAAAGCATTCTATTTTTTAGAATCGGAAATTCTTATCGATTCCTTCAGAGTGCGGAGAAACCAAGTCCAGGAGAACGACCAAAGAAGAAGAGCGAGAGGGCGGTGGAGAAGAAGGAGAAAACGGGTAAGGAGATGCAGTTCAGAATAATTCCCTCCAACTCTTGTATCTTGGCTCCGCGTTGTGTTACAGGGATGTAAAGTATACCAAGATACTCACCAGAGCAATACAAAAATTTTGGTATGCTTTATACACACACCCCTGTAGACAAAGGCGGAGCAAAGTGAGGTAAAAAAACTCTTGCCTCTTTTTAGAGGCGGTGGGAAACCTGGCCGACCAGTGGAACTTAAACGGCGACAATAAGGACGACAGCGGCCCGAAGACCGATCTCGAAGCCATTGACGAAGATAACCCGTTGGCGCGACTGAATATTAAGGACCGGAAGAAGAAAGAAGCCGCCGCCGCAGCAGCAGCAACGGGAACAGGAAAGAAAGATGCACCGAAGAAGCCGGGAACCAAGGAAGCTGCTAAGAAGAGGTATCGATAGTATAGTTTTTAAGCATCGAAAATCCAAAAATATTAAACTTTCCGAAAAATGTGTAAAAATCCAATTTCAAGAGTCTTAAGCTTCGTGTAATCAAGAATACCTCAAAACACGTTCAAATTATGCATTTAAAAACAAAAAAAAAGCCAAAGTCTAGTACCACCAATTCTTTCAAGCGCTGCCCGGGCGAGCAAGGAAGAAGCGAAGACTGCCCATAAAGCACCGTCAGGCGAGATCAGTTGTGCTGTGCAAACCGGGGCCGGCATGCCACCCAGTATTGTTCAAACCGGTGAGCCCGCCCCGCCCAGCAAGGACATCGCTTCGAAGGAGGCAGGCAAGGATCCGAAAAATTCTAAAAAGGTCTGTTAATCCCGGCTACTGTGTTGATTCAACCCATTTTAGCCAGCCGCCAGCGCCGAGAAGGTGGTGGATCCCATGCGTGGCGATCAGCAAGTGTTGGTCCCCGGCGAGAAGTTGCAAAACCAGAGCTGCTATGTGAGCCTAAAAACCTAAAAGCATGATTTTTTCAGATGATAGCGGGCAAAAAGAAGGAGGGCGCGAGCGGGACGGGCCCTAGCGGCAAAGGTAAAACGAAGAGCAAAGAGCCACCGCCGGCAAGCAAGGAAGTTACCGCGGCCCCCGCCGAGCCAGTCGAGCCGCCAGTCAAGCCTAAGAGTGTGGTTGGTCAGCCTGTATGTTCCCTACACGAGCGCACCTTACAGCTGAAGTCCGTGAAAAAGGAGAAGAAGGAGGGTGAGAACGAGGACAACAGCAAGGAAAAGCAATCAAAGAAAAGGAAGAAAGATAAGGAAAAAGACAAAGACAAGGATGAGAAGGACGAGAAAGAAAAGGATGAAAAAGATGACAAGAAGGATGAGAAGGCGCCGGTCAGTGAGAAGAAAAAGGAGGAGAAGAAGGAGGAGAAGGACGAGAAGGGCGGCAGTGACAAGAAGGACGACGAGAAGAAGGAGGATAAGAAAGACGAAGAAAAGAAAGCGCAAAGTCAGAAGAATGTGGGGAATTTTTTTATTTACTGTTTTTCGACAGTTTCCATCATCCACTTACCCTTTCATTATCCGCTTTTGTTGCAGGCAAAGGGGCAATCGCAGAAGCCGAAAAGAAAGCAGAAGTCCGACACGAAGAAGCAACCGGACCCAGAGAACACGCAGGGCAACAGCGCGAAAGAATAGGTGCGAAGAAACCTAAAACGAACACAAACGATGGCGTTGCAGAAAACAAAACTCCACCGCACCACGGCTCTACCTGATGGGCAACCCTCATAACTCGACAAGCAATCCCGCCACTCATTTCCTCCGTGAATTTCTTACAACCAATCTTGTAATAAAGAGATTCGTGAAATGCTCCCGTTAATTCCTCTTCTGCTCTTCAACGCTTTATTACACGGAACAGGCATTACACAGAAATGCACAAGGGGACGGGGAAAGGCATGCACATGCATGAAATATTAAACACAGAAAATTGACAAAATAGAAAGTTTTAAGCATCGGGCTTCTCGTTGAAATAGTACCAAGTTTCGGCGTTCATCGGGATGCTCTCCATAAACTAAAAGTAAAATGCCCATTATAACAACAACCTCTCACCCGCTCTTTGATTGCCTTCAGTCGCTGCTTGGCCACCTCTTCGGAATCCTTTAGCACCAAGAGTTGCTTGTTCTTGGGGCAGTGCCTGGAAAGAGGATTTCACCTGGGAGCTCACAAGTTAGGCATAAGAAGAACAAAATCTCACCCGATCGTATGATTCAATTTTCCGGCCGCTCCACACAGTACACAAGGAGCCAGATTGGCGATCTTGGGACAGCTCTGCTTCATGTGGCCAAACGGATTGCCCGATTTCGAAGAGTTGCAGTAGGTGCAGAAGGGTTGTCCATTCTGAGAACGATTGAAGCAGAAACAAGAAATATCACCTGCTCGCTACGAAAGCGCGGCCGTTTCCCATTTGCCGGTTGAGCCATCGGGTGCGCTTGGCGGGCCGAGTTACTACGGCCGGGCATCGTGCTCTAAAATCGTAAATTAATAAAATAGATAAACGCCTTTCATAGAATAGAAAATCTTACAGAAAAACTTAAAAAAAAACCCTATGAACCTGCACCAAACCATAATTTTCTTTTTCGAGAATTTCCGGTACAATACGCTCCGAAAGGCAACAAATTACGAAATTCGTACGTGTTGCGATGTACACCGGCGTTCGGAAAAAGTTTCTAAATCACTTTGATTTTCTCAGTTTTATAACTTCCTCGCTCACGCTTTGCTCCCCTTCTTCCCCGACTTTCAGTGTAGCCCTTTTTCCAGGTCACTACCACTAGAATTATCCTCACGTTTCGGAGGCCTCCGCGATGAAAAACTTATCTCAGGCAAGAGCATTTCGCGCTGTATTCAAGCTTTTCTAGATGTCTGCGGGACAAAGTGGCGACTCCAGCCCAGTCCCTCCAGTTCCCATGGGCCACCCGCTCACCTACCGCTGGGTTTTCTATCACATGATGGTATTTTTCGTTCGATTTCACTTACTTTTTTTTAGTTTGACCGTGAACGTTCGTGGGAAGAGTGCCTGATGCCTGTGGCCACGTTCGACACCGTCGAAGACTTCTGGCGAATTTACAACCATATCCAAAAGCCCTCATCTCTCCATCCCGGCTCAGATTACTACATTTTCAAAGAGGTAAAGTTCCTTATTTTGTGGGCAAATTTCTTTTAGGGCATTCGTCCTATGTGGGAGGATCCGCGGAATATCAATGGCGGGCGCTGGCTCCTGAATGTGGAGCAAGGCAGCGAAAAGTTTGTTTTCCCTTCGCTGCTTCACTTTTTCTAGGGAATGCAATGTCGATTTCTACTGGCTGGAAACGTTGATGCTCATGCTCGGCGAGCAATTCGAAAGCTACGGCTCCTACGTCTGCGGCGCAGTCGTCAATGTGCGAAGCAAAGGGGACAAGGTATATTCCACTGTAGTTATCGTATTTGTTGTTAGGTTTCACTGTGGACTTTCGACGCTATGCGAGACGACGCAAACTTGAAGATTGGTCGCATAATGCAATCAACACTACAGCTCAACGATCGACAACGCATGAAATATGAGAAGCATACCGACACTTCAAAACGCAGCGGATCTACCGTGAAGCCGCGCATTGTACTTCAGGTTTCCCATTGATTCGGCAACCACTCTGTTTTTAGGGGAAAACCGAAACTGTGAATGATGGCCAGCGCACGAAGGGCCAAGAGACTAACGCCTCGACTCCAAGCACCCCAACCTTGGCAAAATAGTTTTGCTGTTGATCTGTGATTTTTTTAGTCGTTAATTTATTTTTTATTTCTGTGATAAAAATTTTTAGAGGGTAGATCGAGCAATTTGAACATTAGGACAGGATTGCCTGTAACAACCCTGGCAAGTGACTAGTAAAAGGCCCGGAAATTTGGATTATTTTGGCAAGTAGAAATCTGTGTTTGGCAAGAGAGCAACTTTTCATAGAGATCACAATACAACAGGGGCCCTCGACCATTAGGGGGAGTTAGATAGGGCGTCAATGTCGCAGTCGTCAAAGTCATCGTCATCCTCAACGTTTTCTGCAATAGGCTTTCCCTTGTACAACTTCGGGCGGTAGGCCAGGACAGCTTCTGAGATTCGTTCGCTCATCTCCGGGAAGCAAACGCCTCCCACGCGCGCCCAAGCATCTTCGAGCTCGGAAGTTCTGTAAATATCACCGGTTGTTGCTCCGTAAAAACCTTACCTATCATCCGAAAACTGATCCCCGCCAAGCCCATGCACGGAAAAGATGTGTTGGCGCATATTTCGTCGTTCCGAGTTCGTGTAGTCACACTCCCGACACGAGAACTGTTTTTTCGGGTGATGGGTCTAAAAATGTCATTGTTGTTAGTTTCCTGGTTTTGTCAACAATGTTTACAGACAAAAACCCCAGCTATTACCTTTGCGTGGCGGACGAGGATGGACACATCGCGACAGGCCAACACTTTAGCGCACATCTAAAAGAAAATGTGTTAATCGTTTTTAAAGCAAGAAGGGTTTTTGAAAAGCTGAAATAATGCTTCTGCTTTTCAATCTCTTCAGGTCCAACCTGGCATGGCACGTGGAGATTGCCGATCCATTTGCCGGCGATCAACATGCTGGCCTCCTGTTCGGGGTCGTTGCAGAATTGGGCGAGCTTTCGTACGTCCTGAAAAAGGTTCAATAATGGTCTAATTGAATCCAAAATCATTTCATTTTCAGTTTAGAGCTATACAAATTTTGAAGTATTATTAGCACGGAGTTTTGTTTTGAATAAATTCTCAGAATTCCGGTTTCGCCGAATTCCAGAATCTCCGGTTCATATATAAAGAGGCGAAAGCATCAGCCCGGCTACGCTACTCGAAGATGGACTTTCGTCAGGTGGGTTCTGCCGCGCTTTGAAAACCCCTTTTTAGTTCGAGCTAGCGCGTAGCGAATTCTGCCCCGGAGGCGCCGACACGTTCACGCTGCGCCTGGAATTTCGGAGGAAGGCTGGAGGGGGCGGAGCGTGAGCTCGAGCTCGTGAAAATAAAAATATTCCTAGGGTGAACAAGTCGAAGGCGTCCACCCCGCGCTTCGTCGAGCCGCCGAGCAGAGAGCTGACGCCGTCCGGGGAGACGACGGTAGGGAGTATGAATCATAATCACCTAGCAAATTTGTTAGCCTTTTTATAGTGTATATTTTGATCGTGTTTTTCGTCATTTTAATTACTAAAAGTCAAACAATGTTGGACAGTTCAAAAATTCCCCCGCTTACCTCCCCCCCCCCCCGCTGACAGAGCAGAAAAACTCATTTTAAGCCGCCAAAAAAGCCATTTTAGGACGAGTCAATGTTCCCGGAGGCCGTCGCCGTCTACGTGCCGCCCGTCTCCGAATCGCCAGGCCACACGACGGGCAGTTGCTCGGTGGCTAGCTCGGCGTCGCGAGGCCGTGATCTGCAGGACAGCCGCGCCACCACCAGCCTCGAGCGCGACATCAACAAGGCCACCAACTTCCTGCAGCGCGTGCGGCCGAAGCGCGCGAGCACCACCACGTCGACGACCACGGGGGGGTACGATGGGCCCCCTGCACTTTGACACGTCGCTGGACAACTACACCGCCAGCACCGGCACGTTCAACGGGATGGATGCGACCGTGTGCCCGGATACGCCGGATCCAGAAAATGACTACGTCAGGTGGGAACGTCTAGTTTACTAAACTAAAATCCGGGTTTTGACGACAAGAAAAAAATGAATTTCGGTCAAAAATGCGATTTTTTAAAAATATACTATTTTTTTCTGGATTTATAAAAAAATCGGCCGCGCCCGAAAGTGCAAAAAAAACTGGGTTTCCGTCTAGGTGCTGCGCCCACGGGACCGAGAAGTGCATGCAGAAGCGCAAGGACGACGCCGGCCTCCAGAACGACGACCCGCTCGAGCGCCTCTACACTGCCCTCAACAAATAGCCCACCCCGCCACCCGCCTTTACCCCTTAAAAAGTGTATCGCTGTCCGATTGTTCGCCCGATTCATTCGACTCGTCAACAAAGTGTCTTGTACTGTGCCATTTCTGATACGCGGCGGCCGCCAATAAAGATTTTTTGGTTTTTAAACCCTTTTTAAAAACTTCAGAAAAAGGTATGGATACTCACCGGATCCTCCTTAACCTTGGGCTTCAGCCGGCAGACGTTTAGCTCCCATTTGTCGATGCGGGCGGCGAGTTTTGGGAAGCAGCGACGAGCAACCTGGGCCCAGGCACCGCGCAGACGCGTTGTGGCTATTCTGAAATGAGCGGCTTGTTTTAGGACTTAAAAGCGTGAAGAAAAATATCGGCAGCATTTTCGCGCTCTTACGACCAGTTATATTTCTTTACGACCTTAGTTGTTGGCCCGTTTTCATAAATTTTTGACGAAAAAGTCTCATTGTATGAAAACTTGTTAAAAATATTCTCTAGATTCAGTTCTAGGACCGGACGCAATTACTGGGAAAAGCTCTGCTAGACCGGAAACACGCAGAAGCTTTCATCGGCTTTGCTCATGCTAAAAATTAAGGATTCTAGCAAAAACCCACCCATTGCTGACCGGCATCGGGTTTTTCACTTCCGGATGGTGCTGCCGGATATGAAGCCGCATCTCGCGACTGTCCCCAGCCTGCGCCGAGCAACACGGGCAGCCCCACGGCTTCACCTGGTAGTGCGACTTGGCGTGGGCAAGGATGTTCTTGAATTGGCTTTGGAAGAACTGGCGGCCGCATTCCTAAATTATGGTAAGTTTCGGAGCTGGACGATAATCTACCTGACAATCCTGGACGCCCGATTCGAGTTTATACTTGTAGTCTCGGTCCCTTGAAAATCCATGACTAGACTCGGGCTTGTCGAACAGCTGTTGAATCTGGATTAACGAATTAGGCTGATATATCGCATCTTATTCACTTTAAAAAGGGCAGAGACCTAGAGTGAGCGAGAGAGAGAGGGAGAGAGAGAAAGGGAGAGAGAGAGAGAGAGAGAGAGAGAGAGAGAGAGAGAGAGAGAGAGAAACAGAGAGAGATAGGGCGCGCGAGAACGGATCTCATAAAACAATAAAAGCTTTTTATCAAGGGACCGACCAGTGCATCCGAGATTTGAGGCTCCTCATCGAACTCGGGCTCAGGGATTGACTCGCCTTCCTAAGAAACAAAAAAATCGTTGGAATTATCAGGTAGAAATTACATCTTCATCCCCGGCGAGCGCGCCCAAATTCCCAAGGTTCAGCGCCTTTTCGACGATTTCGATCCGGGCCAACGGCTTTTCCTCCGTGGTCGTGTCAAAAGTGGTAGGAACAGCTGAAAAGAGAAAAATTGAAAAGTATATTATCACGCTACTCGCAGTTTTTTCTAGAATCGAACGATACAATTTACACTAGGCTCTTTCCGCTTTTTTACAACTATTCCCCCCACGCCCCAAAAACCAACGCGCGCTCAAAATTACCGCCCAGCGCGACGCGGGTTGCCAGGTAAGCCGCTTACGCGCCGGCAGCCTAGCACGTCTGGTTTGTGATGACCTGATCAACTATAATAAAAAAGTAGTGGTGTCTGTCCGTCCGTCCGTCCGTCATGTCCCGGATTCAACTCGAAGGGGAAAGGAGCTAGAGCTTAGCTCTCTTCGGATTCGGATAGAGCATGGTCAGAAACCCCCAAACTGATGAAAAAATTATGAAAAAGTTTTAATTTAAATTATTAAAATTAACTTTGAAAGTTTTTCCCTTAGTAAAAGGGGTCGGGGACGGAGGTTGGGGTGATTTTGGGCATAGTGAGCCAGGTCGCGCGCGTTTCGTGGATGAAAATTTTCACGGGGAATTTCATTTCTTTTTTCCCTCAATCCATCCGGTCGGTCGTTATTTTTGTTTTTGAAGGGGATTTCGGCTAGGGGAGGTATCTGAAGCCATCAGGAAGGTATTTAGGTAGTTTTTGAAGGGGATTTCAGACATGGGGGGTATCTGAAGCCATCAGGAAGGTATTTAGGTAGTTTTTGAACGGGATTTCAGACATGGGGGGTATCTGAAGCCATCAGGAAGGTATTTAGGTAGTTTTTGAAGGGGATTTCAGACATGGGGGTATCTGAAGCCATCAGGAAGGTATTTAGGTAGTTTTTGAAGGGGATTTCAGCCATGGGGGGTATCTGAAGCCATCAGGAAGGTATTTAGGTAGTTTTTGAAGGGGATTTCGGCTAGGGAGGTATCTGAAGCCATCAGGAAGGTATTTAGGTAGTTTTTGAAGGGGATTTCAGACATGGGGGGTATCTGAAGCCATCAGGAAGGTATTTAGGTAGTTTTTGAACGGGATTTCAGACATGGGGGGTATCTGAAGCCATCAGGAAGGTATTTAGGTAGTTTTTGAAGGGGATTTCAGACATGGGGGGTATCTGAAGCCATCAGGAAGGTATTTAGGTAGTTTTTGAAGGGGATTTCAGCCATGGGGGGTATCTGAAGCCATCAGGAAGGTATTTAGGTAGTTTTTGAAGGGGATTTCGGCTAGGGGAGGTATCTGAAGCCATCAGGAAGGTATTTAGGTAGTTTTTGAAGGGGATTTCAGACATGGGGGGTATCTGAAGCCATCAGGAAGGTATTTAGGTAGTTTTTGAACGGGATTTCAGACATGGGGGGTATCTGAAGCCATCAGGAAGGTATTTAGGTAGTTTTTGAAGGGGATTTCAGACATGGGGGTATCTGAAGCCATCAGGAAGGTATTTAGGTAGTTTTTGAAGGGATTTCAGCCATGGGGGTATCTGAAGCCATCAGGAAGGTATTTAGGTAGTTTTTGAAGGGGATTTCAGCCATGGGGGGTATCTGAAGCCATCAGGAAGGTATTTAGGTAGTTTTTGAAGGGGATTTCAGACATGGGGGGTATCTGAAGCCATCAGGAAGGTATTTAGGTAGTTTTTGAAGGGGATTTCAGCCATGGGGGGTATCTGAAGCCATCAGGAAGGTATTTAGGTAGTTTTTGAACGGGATTTCAGCCATGGGGGGTATCTGAAGCCATCAGGAAGGTATTTAGGTAGTTTTTGAAGGGGATTTCAGCCATGGGGGTATCTGAAGCCATCAGGAAGGTATTTAGGTAGTTTTTGAAGGGGATTTCAGCCATGGGGGGTATCTGAAGCCATCAGGAAGGTATTTAGGTAGTTTTTGAAGGGGATTTCAGACATGGGGGTATCTGAAGCCATCAGGAAGGTATTTAGGTAGTTTTTGAAGGGGATTTCAGCCATGGGGGGTATCTGAAGCCATCAGGAAGGTATTTAGGTAGTTTTTGAACGGGATTTCGGCTATCGGGGGTATTGATGGAAGTGGGAAAGGATGTGGTGGAGTGTGACATGTAGGTTTCGGCTAGGGGAAGTATCTAAAGCCATCAGAAAGGTATCGACGTAGTTTTTTAAGGGGATTTCGGCTAGGGGAAGTATCTAAAGCCATCAGACAGGTATTTAGGTAGTTTTTGAAGGGGATCTCGGCTAGGAAAGGTATCTGAAGCCATCAGGAAGGTATTTAGGTAGTTTTTAAACGGGATTTCGGCTATCGGGGGGTATGGGAAGCCATCCGGAAGGTGTGGTAGTTTAGGTAGCTAAGTTTTTGCAGGGGTTTGGCCATAGAAGGTATCTGAAGCGAGCAGCGTGGCTATTGATGAAGGTAGAGGTGTAATGTGGTGGTGTATAACATCGAGGGTAGCCCGAAGGCCAGTCGATTACAGTCGCGAAGCGACTGTAATCGGCTGGTTTTTTAGAGAATGGGCATGATCTGGATAAATGGCCGGATAATAACCCAAAAGCAAATGTCCAAAACTTAAAAGCTAACCTCCGTCAAGGTCGGTCTCAAACGATGTGGAAGCCGGGGTGCAAGAGTTGTGCGGTGAGAGGGCATCTCGTTTCACCTGAAAATGGATTTTTACTCGGTAACAAGTGCCAGAAAGTCTTTAGAATACCTTAAAAATCTACAAACCTCTGTTTCGATCACTTTCCGTCGCTTCCGCGCCGCCGCCTCCTCCTGGATGTAATACGGCGAATCGGTGAGGCTGTGCACGAATGAGATCTCGTAGTAGCCGAGCTCTTGCTGGAAATTGAGAATTTATAACCAAAAAAATAGAAGTTACCAATTTCCCGAAAAGCGTCTGGATGTCAGGCTCGGTGCCGAGGCTGATGATGGCGTATTTGGGGTGGCGGACCCCCGGTTTTCGCGGCGCCGACATCGAGCTGGAATTTCTGTGTGAAATTCGTAAAAGTAAACTAGATGTAAAAGGAAAAGGAATATTTTTGAATCAACGCGGGCAGACTCGCCGGGGAGGCGAACGCACTTTCCCACGCCTCGCGCGCGGCGCGGTTGAATCATCAGCGCCCGGGGGCGTGCACTAACGGAAGGGCATTTGAATTTGATACCAAACTAATGTCTTGCTTTTCATCAAATCTAAGCATAAACCTTCTAGAAAACTAGCTCGGCAGGGGCTTTTTGCATTTTTTTTCACCCCCGCGCTGCGCAAAAAAAGTTTTGAAGCGCAGTTTCTCGAATACCGTAATCGTTCAGTGGTTTTTGAGCTGAGAGCGTTGCTCGGAATTTCAAGCTCTATCGAATGAGCTATGTCTAGTACAAAAGACCCGATTCCTTGTAAGCTTGAGAGAGCCCGTGCATTACAAGCTCTTTACCCGGGAAAGAATAGACCAATTTAATAAAATAGACCTAAGCCCAAAAAACTAAACCCACAACACACTTCAATACCCTAGCAAAAAAAATGGCAAGCGCGGCGGCAGTGCTACTTCTGCGCTTCGCATCCAGCGCCCCCCTCTCGCTCGCCGTCGCGTGTTTCTGTTTATACAGCGCTCCAACGGGCCACCCCGGGTGAGCCTCAGCCACACGGCCCTCGGCCCGGCGCTATAAACGGGCGGAAATGAGCCGATAGATGGCAGAGAGGGGCTGAAACCGAGGGCGCTTATTATCAATACAAAAAAGGCGCCGATTGCCAGGGTTATCCTTAGCCAGTTCCGGGACACGGGGTATTTCCCCTATCCCGAAATTCTGTATCCCGAAATTCCGTATCCCGAAATTCTGTATCCCGAAACTCTCTATTCCGAAACTCTCTATCCCGAAAACTCTCTATCCCGAAAACTCTCTATCCCGAAAACTCTCTATCCCGAAAGCTCTCTATCCCGAAAACTCTTTATCCCGAAAACTCTCTATCCCGAAACTCCATATCCCGAAACAAGTTAGCTAGCTTTAACGTACCGAACACCAGACTAGATCTTTGAAGTAAATAGTTTTCCGCTATTTTTCGGTTTCGGAAATATGATAAAATGATTTTCCGATGCCTTCAAGAATGTAGGGCGTTAGGAAACGCAAAATACTGAGTTTCGGGATAGAGAGTTTTCGGGATAGAGAGTTTTCGGGATAGAGAGTTTTCGGGATAAAGAGTTTTCGGGATAGAGAGCTTTCGGGATAGAGAGTTTTCGGGATAGAGAGTTTTCGGGATAGAGAATTTTCGGGATAGAGAGTTTCGGGATTGGGAGTTTCGGGATACAGAATTTCGGGATTGGGCGTTTCGGGATACAGAATTTCGGGATAGAGAGCGGTATTCCCGGGACACAACTCACAAGGGAACCACCCGAGGTCGAGGTGGCGTTTCGTTATGGGACCCAGCCCATTTTGTGCAGAATTTTTCGCTGATTCCGAATCCGCTGCTCATTTTTGCCAAATAGCTGGTTTTAAAAAGTTATAGGGCGTCAAAGTTCCATTTTTTCCCAAATTTGTCAACTTCAAAGCCATTTATTTTGCATTTCCCGGATGATTCATCAAAAACGAATATCGCCATCATATTCAGAAAATTTTTCTCTATCGAATGTGCTATTTAACTCAAAATTGTTGGAAATCGAAAAAATCGACGATACTTGGTATGGACTTCGTTTTTTGTATGGGAAATGGTGAAAAACAGGCTATTTCACACTCCCATAAGTGATCATCGATAGGCAGTAGCGCAGTAATGAAATATACCATTCGAATCAGAAAAAAATTCTCTACAAGATAGGCTATTTAAAATGGATTGGCATATTAAAACAAAAAAGTTGGGCATCGTGACAGATGACCGCCCGCGGGCTCAAATATGATCTTAAAATCGCCGTAACTTTTAAAATCGGGCTATTTGGCAAAAATTGAAAGCGGGTTCGGAATCAGCAAAAAATTCTGCACAAAATGGGCTGGGTCCCATAACGAAACGCCACCTCGACCTTAGGTGGTTCCCTTGTCAGGGTATCTGGCTCCTGAAAGGCACCCGTA